TACTAAAAAGATTTTCCCCTTCTTTCCTATCGGCCCTCTTCAGGTCTTCTCAGAAAAGAGAGAATTTGGAGGAAACAAGTGTCCCCTGCAGAAGCCCTGGCTGTAAAACTGGCAATTCCTGTAAAGATAAAGGCAGCTTCTTAAACATCCTGCACGGAGACCTTGCCAGAGCTTGGCTTGGGTCTTTCTTGCTGCTTTTCCAAGGCATTGGAGTACTGGCACTGAGCCACAGCATGAGGAGGAGCCCTGGGGAATTCAGGGAAATACCCCTTGCCAGAGTCAGGTCACAATGCCAGATCACCGTTCTTACCTAAGCCTCTGGGATATAACGTTGTCACCTGAATTTTGGCTGTGAGCCTTGAAAGCCCAAAACAAGGGACTGAACGCCTCAAAAGGCAAATGAAGTGGCAAACAGAGGAATAACATATCAGCAACCAGAAGACAGCCACTTTGCAATTTCTTAGAGATGGGTCCCAGCTTGCCACTCCTTTGAGACAGGGAACATCCTGGCTCAAGCAGGATTACACATGGCGTAAACTTACTTGTGCAGAGTCTTTTCCTAGCTGCGATATTCTTGAGCTGAGGAGTAAACGTCTGTCTGACTTTCCCTCTGCTAGCTCTGGCACAACTCCTTCAGGGAGAGCTGTGGTGAAAGGGGCTGAAACACCAGAGCTTTTGGGGTGGCAAATTTTGGTTGCTCTAGTAGGAGGACTAACAGCTTTGATTTCCACGGACACAGCTGTCACTTTGTTCTCTTGCCGGAGATCATCTGCAGCCCAGCTCTTTGCCGGGCAGCCCACTGCAGCTTCCCTGCGGCGGGCACACGATTTCCCCTGCTAAATCCAAAGCTACTATTGGAAATCAGACCGGAGTACCCCATCCACCCAACTAATCAGGACTGATGAAGGCAGAATGAGATGCTGCCACAGCTCTCGGGGATGCGGAAGGGAGGCCCAATCCCCCCCACAGAAACGTCGGCAAGGCTTGATGAGATTCCCGAAAGCAGTACAAGAGAGGGATCCCAAGGGTCCCATCCCCGTGGAAAAGCCAGTCCTCAGGTACGCGTCACGAGAAATAAGCATTTAGAAAGTCATGACGTGCCTTTAAAGCTCTTTGCCATACTGAGATCGATAAGCATGTCTAGACTGACAAAACCGGGCATAGTTCCTGTTCCGCTAAGACGTTCTTTCGGGGAAGGCTGTCCCCACCCCCCGCACGACCCCGCACCGCTCCTCTGCTCCCCCGGTCCGCCCGCGCGGCGCGCGGGGAGGCAGCGATGGCG